GGACTCTGCATGAATAGAAGAACTCGTGCCGTGGGATGCAATGGTGGTCTCCGAGGGAGACGATGGCGGCGAGGTCCGAGCCGGAGAGGATACAGTCTGCATGGAAAGAGACGTGGCCAGGGGAGACTCGGATGCTGGTGAAGCTGTTTTGGTCATTTCTGCTGAGGTCAGCTCAGCCTTCGTGGGAGAAACCTTGCTGTAGGTTGGCGCTGTTTGATTTTCAAGAGACGTGAAGCCAGTCTCCACAGTGGAATGCGGCCTCATCGGGGTGGATCCGGTCACCTCAATAGTCGAGGTTCTCAACTGAGTAGCCGTAGGAGAAGATGCCGAAGAGAGGGAAGGACTGGTCCCCTCAGCTGCTGTTGATTCGACCCTGGCTGGAGGACTGGCAGACTGGAAGGAGACGGTGGTTTCCTCGGTAAGGGCAATGGAAGAGTGGTCAGTGGAAGGGGAAAAAGTTGGCGTAGAAACGGTGGTGCCTCGGGCAGAGCTCACCTCCGGTTTCGTTGTGGAAGAGCCAGATGGCGGGCGTTGAGTTGTTGTCTCCTGCCGTGAGGTTCCTTTCGGCTGCATGGCAGAAGAGGGGGCGAGGGAGGGACTGGTTTGTTCCTGGGCGGAGGTTAACTCAGTCATGCCAACAGCAGCGTTCGTGGTGACAATAGAGGCTACCGACTCTGCGGAGGACATGGTTTCTGGGACTGCAGTGCTTGAGTGTGCCGAATGGAGCGAAGAGGTGGTGCTTCCTTCAGTTGGGGTGGACTCTGCATGAATAGAAGAACTCGTGCCATGGGATGCAATGGTGGTCTCCGAGGGAGACGATGGCGGCGAGGTCCGAGCCGGAGAGGATACAGTCTGCATGGAAAGAAACGTGGCCAGGGGAGACTCGGATTCTGGTGAAGCTGTTTTGGTCACTTCTGCTGAGGTCAGCTCAGCCTTCGTGGGAGAAACTTTGCTGAAGGTTTGCGTAGTTTGATTTTCAAGAGACGTGAAGCCAGTCTCCACAGTGGAATGCGGCCTCATCGGGGTGGATCCGGTCACCTCAATAGTCGAGGTTCTCAGCTGAGTAGCCGTAGGAGAAGATGCC